AGATTGTTATTTAGAGTTGAGAGAGAGAACCCAAGATTTTCATTTATGATATATGTGACATTTATATGTCTGCAATTACGATTCAACTGAAAAACTTTCTCTGAATTCAAGTCCGAGTATTTCACTTAAGAAGAATTTCAAATAATAACTATCAATGCGGGCTTTAGGCACACATAATTTGCCCTTTTCAGCGCGCCTTTGTTTCTAAATCGCACAATGCGTGATCTAAAGCGCGTCATTTGCCCGTTTTCCGCGTCTCTGTTGCTGAATCGTCGACGGCATCGGCTACTCGCGTTACCAAGTGCCAAACAAACCGACGAACTCGTTCGACAGCGATCGCGCCGAGCCGAAATCAATCGAATCGGATCGCGGAGCTTCGCGTTACGGCACTTCCGGCGGAACTTCCGTCCGGCCGACGTCAAATTTCAACCGCGAATTCTCCAACGAGCGGCACGCACACGCGCGACGACGATATCACCATCTCGACGATGGCGTTGATCCTGGTTTGCGGACCGCGCGCGTAGCTGCGGCGGGAGAGTCTGTGCGGGCACGCGCGTTCCCTCGTCACGTGCACACACGACGAATTATACGCAACGTCGGACACACTTCGCGATGGTGAAGGATGTCACTGGATTTAATTCGGCGGTTTGTCGGCGCTCTCGTGAGCAAGCGAGCGATCGAAACCGTACGTGCGCGGCGAGACTTGACAGAGACGAGGACCGCGGCAGAGGTCGGTGGTCGGTGGTCTCGGGGAAAGAGGAGAGGAAAGGCGGTTGCAAGGGGGTGAAAAGCGGGAGAATACGTTCCCCTCATATTCCCCCATCCCTTCCTCTCTCACTCCAATTCCAACTCCAGCAGCCCCCTCTCGTTGCGTGTTGCCCCGGGCACAACAACGGTGTTTTGCGATGAGGGATGGACGGATGTGACGTCACGGGAGCTCACGGCGTGATCTATGGCGGCTGATAATGAAAGCGCGGAGGTGAGATACCGCGGTGGAAACTACACCATATAAGCTATAGTTTCCGCGGATGCCGCGTCATACGGCAACGCCGCGGTATTCGGTCACCCCTGCGCGCCCACCGCGTCATCCCCGTTTCCTCCCTCGCCGCGGCTCATCGCGAAATTATATCTTCACAATGGGGGATTCGACGCGGCGACGATAAAAGCTTGAATTATGAATATCGGTTAATTCATGTTACGCATACGGGGACCGCGATACGGCGACAGGCCGCCACGGATGTTACTTTATGACGTGGTGGCCGCGATCCCACCGCCGCTCCGATGGCGGGCGACGATTTCGAAAACTTGCAATTATAGTGAGCGCGCGGACACTGCCGCGACTCTATTCGCCGTTCGCGATAACAGCCGGAGCATCCGGTAATACGCGCGACGCGCGTGTATCGATGCCAAGCGCAGCGGACGAGCGATAATACCGTATAGATAGCGACATATAGATTTGCGAGCAGCGGGCGGATTGCTGCAACGTGGAGAAGCGCGAACGCGCCCGACGATCGTTAGTCGCTCGATTGTCGCGGATCGAGTGGCAGCGTCCAATGTACGCTTGCCGCGGATCTTCATTTCGGACCTCGCCCCTCTCGGCTTTCGCGCTTACAAAAGGAATCGAGTCGATTTTTGAAGAAGCGCTCGCGCAATGTCTGGCGCACTGCATCGAATATCGATAGCGAAAAAAAAAGTACAGAGAGGGAGAGAGAGGAAGAAATTCCAAATGTGAATTTTTTAGTGCATTATATCGATTATGGAACAATTGGCCGTAGTTATGAAAAAATAATCCGTTTCCAAAAAAAAAAAAAAAAAAATGGAGACGAAAATTTGATATACAATTTAAAAAGTATAGAAAACGCTGAAGTTTTTTTACAATCAAGAAATTAAGCATGGCCAATTTTCTTCTCGTTAATCATTGACATATTCAATTCTTAAAAAATTGGTAAAAAACGCAACTAGTACAAAATGGTGCAACTAGTAGAAAATAAAAACTATTTTTCTAATTAATTTCAGCCGCCCATAAGCCGCTTGGATATTTTTTGTTTGATGTAAAAAGACGTATAAACTACACGTTGGTAGAACAAAAAGAGAAAATCATAATTTTGGGAGTTGGATCTCATTCTTGCGTAACTATGATTAATAAGTTTATTATATAATTTTCGGTAATCTCTCCTCCACTCTCCGCTCTCCGCTCTACATATAAAGTGTCCCGAATTCGAGATTGGGAGATCTGGTCACCTTAATTAATGTAGGTGGCGAACTTGCGAGCTGGAAACTACGTAATTCTTATTTCACCAAAGTTTCACGAAACACATTCCACTTGTAGGTTAATCGAGTTACGTCGAGGTGCGGATATTTAATTTCTGCGGAACGCATTACGCGCTCGCTCGCCGTCGCTTAATGACAGAATCGCGAAGAAGGTCGTCTCGTTTGCGCACCACCCGGTTAGTCGCTTTCTTTTAATTAGTCGGCGCTTCATGTACTATGTACACGTTGTAGAAGAAAAAAAATGAGGAGAACGTGGGGTGAGCAGGAACTCATCGAGGAAACATCGAATTACGTGGCTCCAATAAAATTTCCAATAACTCTCGTCCACGGCGTCGCGTGACTTCATTAATGCATCGGTCGAAAATGCCGGAGTGAGAACTTATTTATGTCGCCAAAGTTTAATTGAAGTAGGACTTCGGGAAAGTTTGAGATCGAGGACGCTAACGGACGCTAACATCGAATGCGAACCAAAACGCATAAGCGATTCCGCGCAGAATACGCCGACGGCACCGATAAGAAAATCAACGAATAACGTGCCTCAATTCGCCTCAATTCGCATTTTATTCGTTCTGCATTTTGCGCAGAAAGAAAAAAACACGCGCAATCTGGCACGTTAAGTGGCGTATTTTTATCGGCCCATTCCGAATTCACAAAACAAACCACGATGGACAGAAAGAGCGCAGCTTCCGGGGCAATCTGTATGTTTGAAAACAAAATGGTAGCGACGCTTTTTCCTCTTTTTTTTTTAATAAGTTCCGCGTCGCATCCGGTGTTCGATGGAAAAATTTGTTTTTCAGCGATACTCAGGAGATAAATCTCTCTATAGGATACCGGATGCGTTCAGAAACTCATTGAAAAAAAGGTCGTTTTCATTCTGTTTTCGAGTATACGTCGCAACTATTGCATTAAAAACGAATATCGCGCACATTAACTCTTCACGAAGGCATCATCGTTATTTTTGTACGCCAAAAATTGGGATAATGCGAGTCGAGCGAGCACGAATCTCCGTGTGTACATTTTGCTGAATTGAGGGATATCTACCTTACAAATTTTTCAACTTATTTGGGATGTTTTAATAACGAGTCATTTTGATTCCCGTTCTTTCAATATTTTTTGATTTCTTTCGTTCTTCGATCACGGACATTTTTCAAGTGGAGCTTCGACTTTTCGACCACACGCGCGCGAGCTATTCCTCGAAACAACGTTCGCGTCGATCGATTCGCCATTACACGAGGGAGGAGAGAGTATGATATCGCCCGGCAGACTGGAGTGATCCTTCCGTTTCTCCTTTCCACCTGCCGTGAGATGTAGATTTCGCGTTAACCCAGAAACTCTCGCAGGCGGGCGTGAGCTTCTTATAAGTCGATGGGCTTCCTGAGAACTCATCTGAAACTCGGATTAGGCAGCGGCATGAAAAAAAAGAAAAGACTAAAGAGGGATGGCGCGAGGTGAAGAGGAAAGCGGTTTGCGGTGTGAAGCATGAAGGTTATGGTCAGCATGCGAAAAACCGACAGAAAGAGAGAAAGAGAGAGAGAGAGAGAGAGAGAGAGAGAGAGAGAGAGAGAGAGAGAGAAAGAGAGAGAGAGAGAGAGAGAGAGAGAGAGACAGGGATGATGAACCCTGAAGGAGGTCGAGTGGAAGGTAGTAACCGTCGGATGAAGATTCGCAGGAGAGATAAAGCGTCCATTATCGACAGTCTTCCGAAGCGTTTTACGTGCCCGAAGCGTTAATAATTATGAAAACGGCTCGACTCGCGATGCTTGTAATAAACGCGCCATCGTCGTTTTATTGTGGCAGACCCGACGGGTATTAAGGCGACGTCCAACGTAGCATCGCGCCGTTGTGCGCCGTTCCGGGCGAATTTCGGTGCCAATCTCGCGGCGGTGTTGGATTATCGGGTGTGACGCGCGCGATTATTTGACGATCCGCGGATTCGTTTCCAGCCTCGCAGTTGCGAGATCGCTCACATTTTCATATTCCCGCGGTATATCCGGGAATTTCGCGGAGAGAAGAGCCGTTAATTCGCCGTGCTTTTTCTCCTCCTTTTTTCTTCTACCGATATCTTTGCATTAACGCCCTGTGCGCAAAATCTGACGTTATTTTCATTAAATTTCGACACTCATAGAGTTCAGAATGTGTGTATTAAAAATGAAGCAGGGAAACCTTGTTAGATTTTTTAAAAATACCAAACTGTATTGTCTATTTTGTTTTTGAGAATAGTAGTTCCGAACTGAATAATTTTATATTTAATTTTATTTGACAATCGCGACAAATCGTTTGCGTAAACGTCATGATTCGTCCAAAGATAGTGAAGTTAATTATTAATTATTTAAAAAATAAAAATATAAAAAAATAGAGTCATACGGAAGAAGAAATTTGGTTGGATTGACCAGAGATTTGGTGAAATATAAATGAACCAGAAATTTGCCGGTTGAAGTTGCTAGAATTCTGTTCAAGTTAATAAAATTCTGGTTAACCAGATATTTGCTTAATCTAACCTTTTCTTCAAATGAAATCTTTTCTTTCGTGTATATACAATGTGTGGTTATTTCGAAAATATGTTGCATTTAAATTCGTACAGAAAGCAAACGAGCAATAAGTTCCTCCCGTTTCATCACATCTTGGAGACCTCCGTTAATTTTATCAGTCGCGATGCTTTGTATCTCGAATCGTCACGTGGAGATTTGAACTTTTTCGTTGTGTTTTGATCGCGCTTTCTGTCTACTCACCTTAATACTGTCATCTAGTGAAAACATAGCTCATCGTCAAGTGAACCAGCCAAAGATTAAGGAACGCTCTTGAAACTCCGTTGCCGTCGTGCACGGCGGCTGGCAGTTCACCTAGAATTACAACGAGATTATTGCATCTTTCGGCCGCGAAGACTTATTGTCCAATTTATCAAAGCGAGACTAAACGAACGAGCATTTCGCCAGTGACAGGCACGATAATCGAGCGGCCGAGGAGAAACTAATTAAGTTGAATTGTTCTCGCATTTTTACCTCTCTTTACCCCCGACTTTGGTACCAGGTAATATCCACGGCGGGATGATTCCATTACGCTTTGATAATTTTTGAATACATTTCTCGCGGGGGAGAGAAAGGAAATATAATCCAACCCTCGTGATCGATATTAATGTTTTACGTGGAATTTTTTCCGATTTCAATAGTATTACAGCGTGTGTGTTATAACTCAAGCTCGTAAAATAGACATTACTCGCTCGATAGATAAAACAGATCCGTTTGTCGACACAGTCGATAATAATTATATCATTTTTAACAATTTAATAATTAAAGAGTGCAATGGGCCAAACGCTCATAGGCAAGTCATCTGATTTTGGGACCCTCGATAACAAACGGGAATTAATCGGGAATTTCCTCTCAAGAGCTTTGTGCTTTCGAGCTTGCGATCAGTCGGCTTTCCTCTCCCTGGTCCTCGATTCGCTTGATAGTAACAATGGTGATGTCATCACGAGAGACTTCCTATCGCGTGGATCGATTCCGACGACTCGTACGCATCGCAGTATTAAGGTGCACCAACATTATTTTGGTTTTAAGCGAGACTTAAATATACGTCTGTCTTTATTCATTTAGAGAGAAAGATAAAGATAGATATATGTTTAAGTTTCGCTTAAAGCTAAAATAATATTGGTGGAAATAGGCCTAAATAGTCGATTTGCACACAAAGCCGAGTCAGCGCTCGCACGGCGGCCGTCGTCTCCCGTCGACAAAGAACAATTTGTCATTTCATTAATGATCGCGTTCCGTCTATAGGTTTTCCGTCAGTCGCAGACCGCCGTCCGGTTGACGCATTTTCGTGGTCTTTTCGTTTAATCGAACGAGTCACCTATCGCAGGTATAACAGCTTGGACGTCCGCGGATTTTCGCGAAATTAGGTTGGCCTTTATTTATCTAACAGCTTTACAACACTCTTCGAGTCCATTTTTTTATGTGAGCAGCCGTGCTCGCTTGCAATCGCCGCTGAGATGAAATTAAAATGCCTGCTAGTCCGGTGAAATGCGTATTTATGCCGATGCTTCTCATGCTAAGTCATCCACCGGGCTTTCTTCACCACCTAGTAATTTTCCTCTGATATAATTTAATTAAAACTAAGATATTTTAATTAACTAATTGTGAGCTTTGCCGACAGGCTGCTCTTGTGCAATCTCAGTCGACTATCCGACGTCGCGCCTTTTGGCGCTAGATACGGCGTTAGATACGGCAGTTTACATATGTAGATGTGGATTAATGTAAATACGTGATCTGCCTCGCAAGTATTCTCGCTCCTTATGACGCGCGATTATTATAGGTACTGGATTAATGGTTAAATATGTAAAAATACCAGTCTAGATGTGGGAAGTGGTTCTCCTTACCTGTGAATACGTGACTTTGATTCTTGATTAAGCAATCCTTATAAAATTGCCGTTGAAAGACTAAAGGTTGATTTAATTCGATCTTTTGACTATTCTCCGCAATATTTAACGATAAGTTGGCCTCTCATAATCGGTTACTAAGCTTTTGTTCGAGCAAACGCCACTCGGCAGATAGGAATTATATTCAAATTAATTAAACTCGAACACTTGATCGATCGTGTTTTCAATCGTATAGCCTTTGCTCGTCACATTGTGCCTCGGGGAAAACCGCTATTTCGAAATTAAAAATAAATACATCGTTAAATTTCTTTTCCATTTGCCGCGTTTGCTTAATGACGAAACCTAATTCAACGATTCCGCCGGTAAATTGCTTCTTTGTTTTGACTGTAGTGTTTCACGAATGCGCCTCCGATCTTCTTCTCTCCCCTTCCTCCTTCCCTCCCCCTCTCTCTCTTTGCCTGTCTCTCTCTTTCTCTTGCTTTCACTTCTTCATCGTGTCGGTATTATTCTGCCGCCCTGCCGCGCTTCACTTCCCAATTAAAAAAGTTTCCGCTTAATCGGGTAAAATATTTTTATGAGCTTTTCCGGCTCTCGCGCGGGCGAAACAAAAACTCTTGATTTTTCATTAGTCCCTTAATGCGCATATTTCCCCATTATTATTCGCATCAACTCCACCCTCGCGATGGAATGCGATATTATCGATTCGTATATTAAAGCGCGGCGAAACAATTTAAAAAAATAGCTTGTAGCTGTCGTCGTGCGATGGCCTCGTGCGAGCCGAACAAACGTAAATCCCGATAGGATCGTTAATCCTCGAACGTGTACATGCTACTGAATTTGTTGAATTCTTGGTGTTCTTTTTGTTCTTTTTTTTTATTTTCCATAACTCTTTTTTTCGTTTAATTTTACGTTTGTGTAAATCGAAAGTATTGGCAAAATTTTCATTACACGCACGAATTATTCACATATCTCGTAAAAAATTTTGTTATATTCGATATTCGTGATTACACCCTTTAATCCGTGATCAACCTAGCTTCTCGCCCGTCATTTCGATGATTCGTGTATTAAGGAGATTGCCGTCAGTAGCCCGTGCACAGTTTTTCCCGAGAAATTTTCTCAATAAAATTACGTAACAGCCAAAGTGTTTACGGTTATAGCCGAGATTACGAGATGAATACGCGAGAGGAGAAATTATCAGGTGAGTTTCGATTTGCACTTAGAGAAAAGACATGGTGATGGCAACTATGTAGGTGACAATTGTACGAGTTTTAAATGTGGAATTAACTTTCATAGTTAAACTATTTTTAGTTACTGCAAATGAAGCTTCAGTTGCAATTACTACAGTAACAGTTAATTAATCTGTATACATCACAAACTCACATAGTTGTCACATTGCCGTTGTTACGTTTCTCTCTGAGTGTAGATTTCGAATTTCATCACGTCAAGATGATATAATGCGGTAATATAATGCCGGTAAATACTCGTCTATCTCTTCTTTTTTGTTTTGCCTTTCGTTGCCCAGAAATCTTTGCAAGCTTATTCGCGGTTATCGATCACTTGAATCGTCTCGGGCGTCGGCGTAACGTTCTTCCGGCCCGTGCGTCCTTCCTTCCCGCTTGTCGTCGGAACGCCGATAGAAATCGCGGTCCTGGCCATGTTCCAGGATCACCCAGGAATTTGTCAATTCGTCCCACTCGATCACCACCCCGCCGCCCACCGACTTACAGCTTCTTCGCTTCTCTCTATCTGCCCCTCTCCGCTCCTATCATTCCCGTTTTCACCACAGCGACTCTCTCGAGCACCACTGTCCCTTCGTCCATCTACGCTCGCTTCTTCGATTCTTCACCGAGTTTCGAGTTCTTTCTCCCCTCGCCTCTCCTTTTTCACCCGTATCCTTTCAACTCCTTCATCGACGCTTCTTTTTTCCATTTTTGTCGCTGTGTTCTCTTTTCCTTTCGCGCTCCATCCGCAATCGTACTGTCTCTCTATTCCCTTTTCCCTTCGTCACAGATCTCACTTCACGTGTTCCCCATAACTCCTCCTCCTCCTCCATCCTTTCCATCTCTCTTTTCCATCCTCGCCGCAGATTCTCCTTCTGGTCGAGTCGCAAAAAATCACAGAGATCCTGAGATCTTCTTTACCCGTCTTAATCCAGGCATTCGTCCCGGCGGTCACCCCAAGAGAGAGAGCCTGGCATTTTTCAATAAAATACCACGGCAGGGCCGATAAAACTCACGTCGGGCGACGCCGACGGCGGCCGTCGGCCTTGTTGAGCACGTCTTTCGACGGTTTAATGATTGCCAGGAAACTCTCTTGATCACGTGAAAGGTCTCTCCTGCCGCACGCCCACCCCTTGTCCTGTCCTTACCTCGGCCGAGAGTTTTTTAATCTTACCGTGGGAAAAGAGGCCGCGACGAACGGACGCTCGACTGGCCAGTTTTTAACGGAACAGCCGCGACGTGGTTTCATCTTTCCAACGTAATATCCAGATAACATATTTTAAAGAGAAAATTCTAGCCTCTTCCCTCACCAGATGTTTATCCCAATCTTTTTACAGTCGTTACATAAAAACTGAGGACACATATGCAGGTCGAATTATTCGGGCCAAGTAAGTTTGGAAAATCGCGCGTTGCGCTTTGTTCAAAATAATGGAAAAATGCGTGCGTCACGTCAAGTGCAGTGATGGTTGAGCAAAACGACGAGTTTTTACACATTCACATGTCGCGAAGAAAGGAAGAAAGACACGAGAGGGAATATCATCTTTTCACGTCGTCAATCTTGCTGTTTGCGTGTAAAAAACGCCTTCTTCCTATTTTGTAATTATCGTTGTTTACTGGAAAGGCCGGCGCCGTACAGTCGTCATAATACAGCAATATCTCTTGCTGCGGGACCAAAGTAAACCCCGTATGGCGACAGCTTCAAATACGTTGTAATAGACCTCGATTGAAGGCCGCGGTCGACGATCTGTTCGCGGTTGCTCGGGTCCGTTCCTCATTGCTACTTCGATTCATGCCCGTTGGATACATTTCCTGTATGCGGCACGGCAGGGCGTTCGCCAATCCCCGGGACGGAAGGGGCTGGAACTTCCTATTGGCCACTTCCTATCCCGCTAGTTCAGCGTTAGGAATTCCAATTCCCGGCGCTTGTCCCCCGGCTGACCACAAGTCGGGACCTTAGATTTAATCTTTCGATTTGGAATCGAAGGCTCCGATCCGGGCGCTTTGTCTAATGTTACAGAATAGTCGAGAATTACCTAAAACGTATATCATAATGTTCTCGGATACTTCACGCAAATATTATTCCCCGTGTAACCCAAGTAACCGCGAGCTTTTTCTTAACAATACAAAAAAAATACGTAATCTTAGATTTTCCATTAATGATACCTAGAGACCCTTGAATAAGAGTTTAGTCAGCTAGTTTTGATTGGTCCGCCATGTTTTGTTAAATCCCACAGAGCAGATAAAGAGAGAG